GTAGTAGCAGTAGTAGTAGTAATTAGTAGTAGTAGTCGTCGTTGTCGTCATCGCGGTGGTGGTGTAATGCTAGTGGTAGCAGGAGCAGCTGAGGGCGCAGCAGAAGGAGCAGCAGCAACAACAGCGGCAGTGTAGTAGTCGTAGTTGTAGTTGTTGTTCAGCCGCAGTGAAGCTAGCAATGTGTGCGAGTAACAGCAACAATGAAAAACGACAACTGAAAGTACTAGTATGACAAGAGCACCAGGAGTAGTGAGCGTAGTGGAAGCCGATGAACTCTACACAACTCTACTACGCGGCCCACGAGAGTCCTGCCACAAAGGAACATCGCTGCAGGACTCACCGGGCGTCCTGAAGAATTGTTTGCGGCAGGAGTAGGGAAATGTCGTCGCGAGTCAGCGTTAGGTCCGCTCTCGCTTGGCAAAGATTGACCCAACCAGGAAGGATGGTATCAGGCCTGGTTGAAGAAAGGCTTAGGCCTAGGCTTAGATTGACGCAGAATGACCTGAGGCATGTGAAGCCCTACGCCTCACCCCCTATTCCATGTGCATCAGACGCCAATGTGGTACTTTGACAAGCTGCTGTTATGTTCAGAGCACTGTAAATTTCAATGCAGTGCGATAGCACGCCTCCACTTATGTTCTTCCTTATGCCGCCTTAGCCAAAGCCATCAAGGTCGTTGCCATCATCAGCACCGACATGATGCCATTATTGCTGTGATTTTTCTGCGCGTCGTCGCCTCATCCTGCATAATGATGTTTACCGGCCCAGCAAACGTCACTCAGCCAAGGGTGAAACCCAACGTGCTGCACTCTTACATTACGACAAACCCTAAGCTAAGAGCCCTACACCTCGACCGTAGTCCTCCGATCATGCACTGTACTGTGGGCCACGCCGGCCTGGACATGGACAAGTGAGAAGGGGTGACTTGGAATATGTCGTGGGAGGTCTTAGGCCTGAGCTGAGACTTTTGGAGGATGCGAATACCACTCTGAAATCACATACCTTCGACTCTGGCTCTTATCTCGGATCCACTAAGCCTAAGCAGAATCCTGCTATGTCTAGGGCATGGGCGGGAGTGCGCTGTACTCTAACTTACAATGGGGTCTGTGAGTTCCTCACAGCTTGAATTCTTTCAAGGATATTCTAAGTGATGGTCAGCCCACTTTGCGGATGTGAGCCTCAATTCGAAACCTATGCTGACGCTGCGAGGAGCCCCGTGTCCATTTTTCTCCTGTTGCGAGTGTGGCTTCGGATTCATGCTTCGGCGCTCCTGCCATCACCTTCATCAGGTCTAAGGCCCTTGGAGCTAGACCTGACTGGATGCTGCCGAAGGCACCCACAGAAGCAGCAGAAGCCCTTGGCAGCTGGGCGGCTGCATCTTTGCACAGCCACGAGCCATGTACCGAAAAACACGGGCTTCAGAAGCTAGTCAGGATAGGCTTCTTGACTTCATTGGTGGGACAACTTACAAAGGATGTAACACAAATCTAGCAGTCTAGCAAGGAAAGACTGTAGAACCAAACCCACAGACAACGCATCGTGTCGCGGAAGACCACCACAACTTTTACGTCTTGCCCTATGTTCGAACACCTTGTCCGGAGATGGTATCAATATCAGTAACAACAGCAAGACATGATCCAGGATACAAAACTCTCGGTATTCAAGTTGCGGGTATTGGTGCTTGTGGCTTCTCTCGTTGTGGCGCAGGGCTCCTGAAGTTTCAGCGTTCATGTCCCAAGCCTTCGACATGTGTAGGCCTTCTTACTCAGTGCTCGCATCAGCAGAGCCAAAGCACACTGCATTGGGCGGAGTCACATAGCTGTACCAGGGATGGAACATAGCCTTCATCCCTGGAGTCTCGGGTTCAGGGGCCTTCTCAAAATTGCCTCGAACGCTTCCCCCATTGAGCAACTTCGATACGTCATCACCCCTGCCTTGTAACAAAGCCGATTCTCGGATTCGAGAATCGCGGAATGAATGACCAGTGGCAGTTGCATCTCGTGTTGACGAAGACATGGACATGCAAACACCCATCCGATGTGCAAGCACATATGGAGTTAGGCTATACTCGACCATCGCAAAATCAGAAAGCCCTGACCACGCTCCCCGTTTCTGAGTCCGCATTGCGCTCGCCTGAAGATCTGACCCTCGGAGTAAGAAAGTCTCTGGCAATCATCTTCAAATAAGGAATGTATTTTTTAATAAAGAAAATTTACGTATCGGACTCACTGTCGTTGCTGGCAAGACTGGAGCTGAAGCAGGGATTCAAGGATCTGAAGGGCGTCGGGCGTGGTGCAAAAGCTTATGCTTTAAAAGCACGGCGCGAACGCCACACGCAATCAATTCTACTGCCACTTTTACGGCCGCCGCCAACACGACCCATGAGACCCCCACGACCACTACCGCCACCACCACCGCGACAAGAGCCACGACTGCCGCTTCTGCTGCCAGTAGGCCGGCCTAGAACTTCGACGTCGACGAGAAGGACGACGACGACACGCTGACCGCCACCACAACCCCCGCCAGCGCCGCCGCCGCCGTTACTCCTACTCCTACTCCTCCTACTACTACAACTACTAATATCAGCAAGTAGAACAATAGGACTACTACTTCTGCTACTACTACTACTACTACTACTACTACTACGACTACTACTACGACGACTACTACGACGACTACTACTACGACGACGACGACGACGACGACTGCTACAACAACTGCTGCTACCACTACACTACTACACTACTCCTGCCGCTCCTCCTGCTGCTATTGCTGCGGCTTATGCTACATACTCCTCTTGGTGCTCTTGCTTGGAATTCTCATGGCTGATCCGCCTGTTTCTGCCTACTAATCGGGCTGATGCAAAAACATTCTGCTATACGTATCTCATATGAACCGTTGCTGCTGGTGCTACTGTTCGAGACCTGAAGCACGCAAACCCCTAACTGCCCTAACTTTCCCAAAGAGTCAGACGCTCAGCAGAGGTGTTCTCCAGGTGCACTGTCAGCGCGTGGGGACCACGGGCCTGCAGACCGAAGACAAACAAGATCCCTCAATGTTGAACAACTCTGGTATATGGAAGGACTCTGGATTTAAGCAGGGTTCAGAGGTGCAGTTCCTGCTTTAGAGACATGGATCATCATACTTACTTTGACTGCTGCTGAATGAGCTGACCTCGGAAGCTAAGACCCATCATTCCAATCGAACCGACCATGCCATAAAGGCTACGCCCAATGCTTTGGCTCGAAACAAAGGAATCACAAGAGTCGGCTAACACATGATACCGACAAGTTCAGATGATATATGTAGTTTACTGGGACTTTGACAGCTGCACTCATCTAAGGAGCATACTCTAGATGTTCACATCCAGCAAGTGACCTAGCGTAGCAGGTCGAGAAACCGTTAAAGGGTTTGAAACCTTTGGGAGATATGGTGCGTTCGGAAAATCTTGATAAAACCTGCAGGCAGCAAGCTTGCGGCGGAGGCGGGCTGTCGGAGTTTCGTGTATACGAGGCTTCATAAGGGGGTGTCAAGAGTGTGATGTGATAGGGCTTGTTGGGAAAAAAACTTTTCTTCCGGCACGAGGAACCTTAATTCACCGGTTGAGCGACTCACCCGAGGACAGCCGCCTTCAAGCGTTTTAAACCTGTTTAAGACCCCAGCGCGCTTGTCCTCCACATCTCAGGGCCTCGAATCCTTCATCCGAGAAAGTTCTAAAAACCTGATCCACGCCCGAAACTGAACCTCGTCCGTCCCAGCTTTTCCGTCAGTCTGTCTATAACGCGGGCGCTCCTGTACAACAGGCGCTCCAGCAAGGTGCAGAGGACGAACTGCCCGGGGCCTTGGCTCGCAGTACAGCCCATAAGGTGCAGAGGGTTGGCAGGTTCTGTGTTGAGCCTTTAGGGGCTTTTACGAATTTAGGCTTTATAAATTTGAGAAGCAACAGTGGCCGTGCACAAAGAGACGTGCCAACGACGTATCAATGTTGTGAGGTGGTCTATCATGCAGCATTCGCTAAGAGCTCGATCAGCTCGAGTTT